TCCACCCTCTCCGGCAGTCCCCCTGCCGAAGAGGTCTCGATATACGTCCCCCGGGGCGGAATTGCCCCCGAAGAAGTGCGCGGGAGATAAGGCCTCGAGGTGCGTCGCCCGGCCGAAATTAAGACAAATCTGCGCGATTGCGATCGCGTTAAATTAGCGTCCTCTCGCGTCGAGGAGGGTCAGGCCGCGCCAAGTGATGGAGCACCGAGGTTTGTCGCCGGGGCCGCATGCGAATCGCGCATTAGCGGCGAGTGCGAGTACCGTGGTTTGCGCCAAGTACTCCATGAGGTTATCGATCCTCCCACTCCGCCGTCAAAACGAATTTCACGCCCGCTACCCGCGGCCAGAGGGCTGCGGGGACGAAACGCGGATTTTTTCAAATTCCTCAAAAATTCAATTTAACGTAATATTACGTTATAACTTTCTACGATTCACCTCGGCGAGGTACTCGAACCGCCCCCAAGTCCGTACCGTACCCCAGTCCCGAAATGAAAGTGCACCCCAATTGCCCGACCGGAGGACCCGGAATAAATCCCGCGATCCGCCGTTTGATCGCCTACTTCGCCAAGGATCGAGCTCGATTTCTCGCTGGCCTCCTATTATCGGGGACGACCGGATATCGGGACGTCGCCCGAGGGATCGTTCCGGGTTTGCACGGTTTAATCCGCGTTGCCCGGCACTGTTTGCCCGTACCTCGACTTTGTCGCATTAAGAACGCATTAGCGTCAAGTTCACGCCGGGTTAAGCGATCGGCGCGATACAAGGTGCACGCGATCCTGACCTCTCGGGGAGCGAGGAGCTCCACCCAGTTTCTCCGGAGGTTTCGTGCCGATCAGCTGATCCGACGTCGAGTGGCGATTAAATCGATCCCCGACTCGGCCGGAACGGTGGAGGGGACTCGAGACGAGAAATTAATTGGGGCGCCTCCCGAAATTCGACGTTCGGGAAAACGCGTCGACTCGATAGTCGCTCGCCGTTGGGCAGGATCCGCGAGTGGGGCGGATTCCGGATCCCGGGGCTTGCGGAAAAAAACCCGTTTCGGGCAGCATTCCCCTCGTGGAGCATCGGGCTCGAGCGAGCGGGAGGTTGGCAGTCGAACCGGTGGTGCTATTAACGACATTAACGCTACTCCGGGCAAACACGGCTCTATATCATCCAACCGGCGGAATAATAAACAATAAATTCCGGTGAAATATGGCGCCGAACGAGCGTAACCCATTTGTTTGCGATAAACTGACCCTGAAGCTAGTCCGACCAGTCCGCAACGACCGCCTCGCCCCGGCTGCAAACCCGATACTTTAGCCCTCCTCGGGAGAGGGAATGAGAGAGAGAGAGAGATAGGGCCCAACTTGACGCGTGCGAAAAACCGGAACTCTCCTTGTAACGACCAAACACGACGGCGTTATTCCTCTGCAATGCCCCTTGATAAATGACCGATCGCGGCCTGGAGAGGTGAGGCGAGGTGATGCCCATCTCGCGCCCCTCCCTCGAGGATTCACCCCAAGGGGCCCTATTCCCGTTCCTCCTTGTCTATCCTAAAATTCAGCGACCCAATATAAATATTCCTCCATGGAATTAATTTAATCATCGAGTTTAATCGGGAGAGGTGAATCCACGTGAGGTGGTGCCCATCTCGCGCCCCTCCCTCGAGGACTCACCCCAAGGGGCCCTATTCCCGTTCCTCCTTGTCTATCCTAAAATTCAGCGACCCAATATAAATATTCCTCCATGGAATTAAATTTAATCATCGAGTTTAATCGAGTGAGGTGAATCCACGTGAGGTGATGCCCATCTCGCGCCCCTCCCTCGAGGACTCACCCCAAGGGGCCCTATTACCGTTCCTCCTTGTCTATCCTAAAATTCAGCGACCCAATACAAATATTCCTCCGCGGAATTAAATTTAATCATCGAGTCTAATCGTCTCCAGAATTTAGGGACCACCGGAACCGATGGCCACCCCTTTGACGGCGATCCAGGAATTTTTGGAGGTTCTCTCCGCTCGAAGGGGGGAGATTTTCATGGTCAGGAATTCTCGTCCGAGGTGGACGTTGCGGTTGTCGAATGCATTCGGGGAGCCCGCGATTCGGGCCCGACCTGGCCGTTCCCCGCTGGAGGTTTCCGGCGATGGTCCTTTGTCGCCAATAACTGTCAGCGCAGCGCGATAAAGATGAGAAATGTCTCTCTCTCTCTCGGGGAAAAAAAGGATATACAGCGGAGGAAAGGGAAAAAACCGGTGGCGGGTGCATAGGGCCCCGGGGTGGCAGCTCGTAACGTTCGTCGCGGTCGTAGGGGTGGTCCCACCCCAGGTGCGCGTCTACCTTCGGGGTAGGTCCTCGGGTCCCACCCTAGACCTTTGTCCCTCGGAGCCGAGGTCGGGGCATTTCGATACGTCGGGACGAGCGTCGGGACGGGGGCGGAATAATTCTTGAAAAATATTCCGCGACCCGGCCGCAGGGGTGCGTCTAGAGTGGAGGAGGTCCCGCGTAAGGACGATCGGCGCCTACCCGAGCGTAAGACTTCCCCGTTGACTAATAGCGCTTATCGGGACGTTAATAACGCGGCGGCTTGACGCGAAAATTCGGGGCCGAGGCCCGTGGCAGGCTGCCAATATCCCGGGCGCGCGTTTCCTCCGCAAAGGAGTGCGTTTTAGGTAATTGGCCGTGAATATTATCTTACTCCGGGGGAGGGACCGAGGGCGAGGGTGAGACGGCCGCGGCTCTCGCAAATTGCAACTCGCGAGGGGTTTTTGCGGAGGCACCGACGCGTCGCCGATTAAAGTTAACAGAGTAGGTTATTACCAAGTAAAACTCTCCGCCCGCGGGCCGCGCTCCTTCCCCCGCTCGCTCTCGACGCCGAGGCTTGCTTTTCCGCTCCGAGGAGTCCGCTGCACCCGGCGCCGCCGATACCGAGAGACGCGCTCTCGTCGCGACGCGTCCGGGCCGCGACTTCGGGAATTTACCGTGCCCCGCAACTGGCCAGGAACATCCCCTGCGCGCGTCCACCGTTCTCGTGGATGCGCACGGAAAGGAAAACGACGAACTTGGGATCGTTTAATTTTCCCTGACAATGGAGGACCTAAAGCGACGCGTCCTCGTGAAATATCCCGCGAGCGTCTTCTCGCGGTTTACTCGCGAGTTTCTCTATTTTCAATTTCCGCAAGGTCGCGGCGCACTTATGGATCTCGGCGTCAATCCGCCGGGTAATAAATGGCGCGTGGAATTGGTAAAAAAAAAAAGAATTGACGCTCGGAGAGGATCTCCCAGGGTCGCGTCTTCTTCCCTGCGGCGTTCTCCAGAAATCGGCGGGATCGACAATTTCGAAACGTCGACGCCGTCGACGTCGCGAGGCGCTCGTAACGGGACTGGCGTCGTTTCGTTAAAACGGCCGCGTCGCGACGAGCGCCTCGCGTCAGGCTATTTCGAGGCGATTCGCACTTTCGTCGGCGTTAATCGATTCGGCGTCGCGAGCCCGCGGAGTCGCTTAGGAATTGGTTGCCGTTAATGACACACGTTGTACCGAGTAATTATGCAAGGGATTACGAGTCAATCTACCGCGAATAACCGGTTGAATCGAGCCCGTTGCACGCTCCGTCGAGTCAACACCCTCCACGACGCGCGGCGTCGTCGCGAGCGAATCGATGAATTATGTCGCGTGGGAGTAGGTCCCTACAAAAATTCGAGAAATTCCGGCAAAATCTGTCCGAATGTAGAAAACTCAAAATCGGTACATCCAAGCCTCGAGGTCGAATTTACTTTTCGAGCATGGCGGAGAGACCGAGGAAAGGAAGACAAACGCGTTAATAGGAAAATCCCGAAAATTGCCGAATCGATTTCAGAAAATCCAAATTTCGACCTTTATGGATTTTCCGACCAAACGAGACGTCGAGTCCGTCGTCTTCTATTCGGTCGAGTCGAGAGATCGTCGGGCCAAAATTTCGATTCCATCAAGGTCGATCGGGGAGTCGATCGAGAAAGAGACCGCGGCCGAGCGGAGGGAAGAGAGTGAAAGTTCCGGGAGAAACTCGTCTACGGTCGCGCTTAGGGATCCCGAATCCTCGGTCATAACCTATAAGACGGAAGAGGAGGAGGTCCGGACGGGAGCACCTCGAGTACCGAATTCCCTTGTTGGTCGGAACACGGGGCCACTAGGTTGGCTAGGTGGTTACGCGTAATTGAAGGCACTTTACCGACCCTACGGTCGGCGTACTTTCCGTCGGCCTCGCGGCGTCTCTCTTTCTCCCGCGGCCGAGTCGCTCGCTCTGTCTCTCTCCCTCTCACGGCGGCGCCGCCTCCGGCTGCTCCGTTCCTCGCATTTGCATTTAGTGGCGAAGGGAAGCCTTTTAACCGAGATCACTTGTATACGACAAACGCCACCTCCGTGCTCCGGAAAACGATGAAATATTTATTGCCCCGATTTAATGGTTCCCCATCCCATTTCTCCGAGAAAATGGCCGGGGTGGCGTTAAAAGTGGCCGCGCTAGTTAGCGCTCCGATTCCGCGGGCAATTAGCGTACCCTCGATTAAATTTCCCCGATCTTCTGTGTCACGTACGGAAGGTCACCACTTTCGAGTACCTCCATCCCTCGGAAAATTTCATTTCCCTCCCCATGCCCAAAGAGAGAGAGAGAGAGAGAGAGAGTTCAAAAAACCGCATGCACCGTGAAAATATGAATTTTGAGAAGATAACTCTCGAATTGAATGCAGCATAATTACCTTGTCTCCTCCCTCCGACCATGCGTCTCTTCTCAAAGCGTATAAAGCTGGGTCAGGATCGATTTAAGGGCGAATATCGAGATTTCGCGAAAGAAGTCGCGAGATTTGCGACCAATCAGGAACAGGTGAGGAGAGGAAGCGCGCGGGGTGATGAGCAGAAATTGAAAACACAAATCAAATTCACTTAAAGTCGTGTTTGTATATATATCTGTATATGCATTTATATATATACACACACATATATATATATAATTCGAAAGGCCAGCGGCGAATCGATGCCGCTGGGCGAGACAGGTTATGTACAAAGTCCTCCTTGAAGCGGTCGCGATCCATCTCCAAATATATATATATATGTATGTATGTATCTATGTATACCGACAACTAAATTTGTACAAGTAGCCTTAATTGTCTCCGGTTCCGCGGACCGTTCTCGCGCGAGTCTAATGGTACTTAAACGAAAGAGGAATTGGAGCAATCGAGGTCAGAGGGGTCTCTCTCTCTGCTGCACTTGCAATTAAAAACTGCACAGGTGCGTTAGCTCTGTTTTTCTCCCTCTCTCCAGCGCGCTTATCCGTATGTACCGTCGTACGTAGACGCCGTAATTAATATTATGTACTCCTAGGCATGCAACGTAGACGCCTCCCTCGGCAAGCGTCCGTCGTTCGACGGATCTAGTCAGCGCGTCGTCAAATAGTCGTCGAGAAAAAAAAAAAAAAAATGGGCAATCATCGAAACACACGTCCCAAGAAATTTATCAAAATTCCGTGCTACGGGAAATTACCGATAAAGCGGGCAATGATAAAAAGAAAAAAATTCCGCGTTTTGAAGGAACTCGCGAACCGTCGAGACGGCACCGATATATCATTTTGGCGATAGGGAGAGAAAAAAAGGAAAATTTATCGGAAAGGGCAAGTGACGGAACGTCATTGCGTCGGGAGGTAAACGGACGACGGTCCCGGGGACGGCTACGAAAATGGTGACCATGATCCGATGACGAGCCCACGTAAATGACCGTACATTAGATATGACCATGTAAGAATCCGCGAGCACTCGGAGAACAGACCGACCTCGGGCCTTTCGGGCCGATTTTCACGTCCCGTGATTTTCTTATTTTTCTCTCTCTCTTCTCTATGTACACCTTCCTACATATTCGCGCGCGTCGATGGCGATCGGCGACCCTGGAAGGGCCGGGAATTATTTACAAAGTGTCAAGGTCCATTTCGAGACTTGTCACAATTATCCGAGCGTCCGTTTCGTCGCTCCCCTGCGAGAGAATCCGCCGAAACTAATTCTAGCCGCGATGGAATGAACGCAGCGAACGAGAGGACGACCCGGGATGCAAATAAAAAATTTTGTCTTCAATATATACAAATATACGTGTATCATCGCAAAGAGGAACTGCCTCGCCAGTTGATCTTGGAAAACGTGCTTGGCTTCATTCTCCGTTAAGGTCGCTCTTCATGACACAACAAAGAAATAATAACGGCGAACGAGTACGATACAAAAGTCCGGCCAGGGCGCCGCGACGCCGGCGATCCGCTTTCGAGCGATTCGAAACGGGCGAAATAAAATTTATACAAATAAGACAGCGAATCTCCGCGTTCACTCCATCTTAGAGACGAACCCTGTCCTCCTAATGGACCGTGAGAAAAAAAAAAAAGTCACCGAGCACCTCGCAACGTCTAATAAAGACGAGACGAGTTCGTCCCAACGTCGAGACGTAACCGAAGCGTCGCCGACACTTCCGAGACCGGCGCCATCTTGGGTCTTAACGCGTGAAGAGACCATTTCCTCTATACCCGCCGTTTGCGGTCCAGATGGCGAAATTGCGTACCGATTGCGAGGACCCAGGGTGCTTAAAAAAACGTAACGGAAGCACCCCGAGGAATCTGGGACCTCCCTAGAGGGATTTCGGTCGAAATTCCCAGACTCGCGTCGCCGGTCTCGAAATCGTCGACGAAGCGTTCCTCCCCATAGGCGAGGTCTCGGTTCACGGGGTATCCTTCATGGTTATCACAGCGGTTACTCGAGGAGAACGTCGTGGCGAGTATCTCGTAAATACAACATAACGCGTACAAATGTCCAAGGGAACCCGCGTAAACGTGGCCGGGTTATGCGCGTAACCGCACACGGGGATGCACGGGCAACATGCTCGGGTGGTCGTCGAAATCTCTGGAGCTCGTCGGGTCGCGGGGGCCGTCGGTCGAGAATCGTGAAAAAGTCTCGTCACCAGACCCATTTCCCAAAGGACTCTCCGAAATCCCGGTACCCTCGGGCAAGCTCCCAAAATCTCAAATCCGCGCCATTTTGACTCTCGCTCCCTCCCCTCTCGCCCCCGTCCATCGGAGAAATTGGAAAATCTCCCGTGGTCCTCCAACCTCCGTCCAGCATCGTCTCTAAGCTATCCTACGAGGTTAGTTTACGTTGCTTAGTTAAACAGCCACATGAGAATTGCAAATCGTGCCCTCGCCTCCGCTCCGCCCACCCCGCCGACACCCCAAGAGAATGAAAAAAAAATCCTCACCCCCCTCATTTTTTTTTTCCAATAAGAAAACAATACCGTCAACAACGTCACGATCGATCATAAGGGCGATTAAGCGGGGTGAGAATTGCGAGAATGGCAAAGCCACAACGCGAGCGAGGTCGGGTCCGCCCGACGTCCAGGGGAGCGACGCCTCCGTCCGGAGGCACCGGGTCCCGAGGCCGCCCGGACGGTCCTCGACTCGCGGAGTCAGAATAAGTGGGCTTACATGTGCGTGAGAGGAGGCACGGCCGAGTGGTGCTGGGCCAGAGGATCCGGCGAGGGTCCCGGCGAGTAGACGCCGGCCCCGTGCTGGACGACGCCCTGCTCGCTGCCCTGGGGCAGGTACATGGAGATCATGTGGCGCAGGTCACTCTGGGGCTGCTGTCCCTGCTGCTGGGACATGTACTCCCGTTTCACGACCCCGGAGGTGGCGGAGGAGCCGGTGGGGGTTGGGGTGTGGATGCCGCCGCCGCCGCTCGCGGGGCTCGTGGGCTCGGACTTGATGCTGCTTCCGCTGGGACTGTGGCTGGACATCTGGGAGCCGGGCTGGGCCTGGTGATAGGGCGAGGGCGAGCCGGCCGGGACGGTGGCGGCGGCCGCGGCCGCAGCGGCCCCGTACCCGCCGTACCCGTTCATGTAGCTGTTGATGGGGCTGGGACTGCCGCCGCCCATGTGGTGTCCCATGTCGTACCGGGGGTACCCGGCGGCGGCGGCGGCGGCCGCCGCGGCGCCCATGTGGCCCCCGTAGGCGTGCTGCTGATAGGCCGCGGTGGGGTCGTGCATCATGTACCCGTTGGGCATGTAGCCGTTCGGCATCTGGTACACGTCGCGGGGGAGCTGGGCCTGCTGGGGCCCGGCGCCGCCGACCTGCCTCTGGTCGACGCCCAGCATGCCGCCGACGCCGGCCACGGCGCCTCCCAGGGGGAACTTGTCCTTCTTGAGCAGGGTCTTGGTCTTCCGGCGTGGGCGGTACTTGTAATCGGGGTGCTCCTTCATGTGGACGGCCCGGAGCCGCTTGGCCTCGTCGATGAAGGGCCGCTTCTCGGTCTCGCTGAGGAGCTTCCACTCGGCGCCCAGTCGCTTCGAGATCTCGGAGTTGTGCATCTTCGGGTTCTCCTGGGCCATCTTCCTCCGCTGGCCGCGGGACCAGACCATGAAGGCGTTCATGGGCCTCTTGACCCGGTCGATGTTGTTGTTCTTGCTGGTGTTGTTGTTGTTGTTGGGCGCCTGGTGGTGCTGGGGCTGCTGGCCCTGCTGGTGCGGGTGGTGCTGAGCGGTTTGCTGGGCGGCCAGCGAGTGCATGGACTGCTGCTGCTGCTGCTGCTGCTGTTGTTGTTGTTGCTGCTGCTGCTGCTGTTGCTGCTGCTGTTGCTGTTGCTGCTGCTGTTGGTGCTGCTGGTGCTGCTGCTGAGCCGCCTGCATTGAGGCGTAGTGGTGCTGCGGCGTCTGGTGGTGGTGCTGCAGGCCGCCTCCCAGGCCTCCCAGACCGCCGCCGCTCGGCGGACTGCCCGACAGGGCCGGGCTGTGCACGATCGAGCCCAGGGCCCCGTACGGCGACACTCCGGCGTGGTGGCCTATCGGCGAGACCCCCTGATGGGGATGCGGAGGCATCTGCCCGTGCAGGCTGCAGCCCTTCAGGTCCGTCTCCATCGTAAGCATGTCTTCCTCCCTGTGCCCGTACAGCTTGACGTCCGTTTCTGGTACTGGGCGAGACGTCAACGGACGGGGCGCGCGCCCTCCGAGGTCCCCGAAACGCGCGGGGATTCCGCACCTACGTCGCCGCGGACGCGAGGCGCTCCGCTAGGCCCGGCACATGTGCGCGACGCGCCCGACGATCACTCGACGACGATCCGTCGCCGACTCGTCATATCACTCCCCGGCACCGATACGATCCGTGTCCTCTGCTCCCGCGCGCCCCGCGACGTCCTCCGACCGCACACTCGACGTCGTCCCTTGACTCGACGCTCCCGCGAGATATACTTTACGGTGGGCAGCGCGACGCGACTCTCTTGGCGGGGCTGACTCGCGCGCACGTTTCTCCCGTTGGCGAGCGCCGAAGAAGCGACCTCCACTCTCTACGGAAGAACGTAACCGTCTGAGCATTTGTAGGTTTCGCCTTCGGGTCCCACTCTCCGGGCTCGCTTCCTGCCGAGGCGACCAACCGACCTCCTACCTCCTCCCACCGCTCGGCCCTCTCTCTCGCGCCCGCCCGCGGCCCCTGGCGCGTCTCTCTCCCTCCGGCCGCCGCGCACCCTTCTCCCCTCTCGCTCGCTCCGCCCGTCCTTTTCTACCTGCCTGCCTATACGCCGCGCGCCCCCCGCCGGCTGCCCGAGCCTACCAACCGGCAATCGATTGGCACGCACGCCTGCCATCATTCCCGCCGACCAATCGCGCGCCGACCCTCGGCCACCCGGGGCGGGGCCTACCCCCGTGACGTCACTGGTAAACCAGGGCGCCCTCGCGCGGCGACGCGTCCCGATGCATGCGGCCCCCGACGTCCGAGGATCGCGGGGTGATTAGCGTGGCCTTCGCGCCGCCGGGAAACGCGGGGGGGGGGGGGGAGTTTGTTTTCGCGATCCCCCCCCGACCCGTCTCCGGACGTCTCCGACCGCTTTCCAACCGTTTTCCCCCAATCGGCGGGGGAGAACGACCGACTCCGGTTTTCAAATTTCTTATCGTCCCTCCTCCGGATTTCGGTTTGCAGGTTAGGGACGCCGCGGGCTCTCCCTCGCTCTTTGCCGCCTCTCGGGATGGGTGTCGCAATCCGCCTGTATCCTCGTTACCGATCGCCATCCGATCCGATCCTTCGGTAATTCATTTCTTCTTTTGCCAACGGAGGGACGGAGACGCGGAGAGACCTCGAGGTGCCGCCGTAGCCCGCTCGGCCGGGTCCCGGGCGTAGGACCTGTTGCCGCGAGTCTACATAATGGGAAGAATACGTCATAGATAATCGTAGCGCTCCCTGTATAAGCCTTATACGATATAAAAGCTGGGGCCCCCGCGCCGGCACCTTCAATTTCCACGAACAAACGCCGAGAGTCCGCATTGTGTGCCCGATGTTTGTATACAGTCGCGCGCGGCTCGTTATACTTCTTGCCCGGGATTCTCCTTTGACCGACAGTTTGTTTTGCCTTTTGAGACGACACGCGTCGCCGAAAATTCCGCGAGTCTCGCGACCTCGAGGGAAATTACGACAGGGGCGACGCTCGGCGTCGAGGGGCCGGTACGGTGCGTCCCGCTCGTCCAGTTTCGGGCCATCTTTCCCGGTCGGAGGTCACGTGGGGAACGAAGTTTCCCGGGGAAACGAGTCGAAAAGTTGCCGAGTCGCGGCCGAAACGCCACAAGTGGCACATAACCGCGGTAAGTGGATTGATAGGGAGGAAAGCGAGAGCGAGGGAGAGAGAGGACGGAGCAACGAGTCGGGGCCCCGACAATGCGCGGCCGCGGGAGGTCTTTGTGATTCAAATCAATGTTTGCGATACTCGATGGCGCCGCGTTTATGCGCCGATATGTCGCGCGTCGCGTCCTCTTGCGCGGTTTCGCCGATCCCCCCCCCCCCTCCGCGATCTTGGACCGCGCATGGAAATCGCAAACGGCAGGCCTGCGGTACATCTTTCGAGAAACAGGTAACGCAACGATTCCGAATATCACGTACCTACCGTTCTTTTTTTAATATTTCGCGCGGCGCGAGAAAGAAAAAATCCTGCGATCAAATACGTCCAACAAAATGTAGGGAATAAAATTTTTTTTAAATCAAGGACGTGGATTTTTCTTACGAATGAAATTCATTGGGAAGAAAAATACGTATGTAACGATATATATATATATTTTTTTAGCTTTGATCAGCTGATCTCCTCCGGGCGGGAAATGCCCCTTGCGATTCGGTGCGCGATCTGACCCACGAGAAAAGGAGTCGGGGGAATTTCTTTTATTTCCTTTGCTGGCGGGATAATTTATTCCGCGGTCGGATGGAAATTCTGGAATCGATGGGATCGATCTTCTCCCTCCTGGAGGGCCGTGAAATCGGCGATCGCGCCAAAGAGGAGAACTCTCTTCCGAGCCGGAGGCGCGGGTAACCGGATTAAAGGAAGACCGGAGAGGGCCGAAGCTCGATGCGCATTATTGGGCGGCGGTGCTCCATTATTCGTCGTCATTGTCGGCGACATCGTCGGCGTCATTGTCGCCGGGCGGGACTCGGCCGAGGAGTAACAAGTGCGCCGTATAAACATATGAACGGCCGATGACACGGCGGGGCATTAATCGAGCTTATTTGGATTCGGGCCGCGACAATCGAGCTTTGTCGAGCGACGCCCTCGATAAAGGACCCTCCCCTCCTTTGATTTCGACCCGGCGCCGCTCTCGCCCTCTTCTTTCGCTTTCTCTTTAGCGGACCCTCTGTCTGCCCCCTCCCTCGCCCTCGTTATTCCGCGGAGACTCGATCGAGTCACCTGTTGGTCGCTCGAGGATCGAGAACGCGAAGGACCTTTGGAAAAATCGAGTCCTGGAGGGTGCCTTCGTCGCCGGTTCCCCAGGTGAGTGTACCTCGGTGTACCTCTCCTCCCGGGACTCGGGGGGTGTTCCTACGTTTCGGGGTTTTGACTCTTCCTCGGACATCTTCGGGATTTATTGCCCGCGGCTTTTCGGGTCCTCGGGATTCCCTGGAAGGGGAAAAATATACGACCTGCCCAGGGCGCGATAGCGAGAGCGAATTTCCAGGGAAGAGGGGAAAGGGTTGCAGGTGCGGCCGCGTCATTCTGGGTTAAGGGCCGAGTTCCTGGGAGGCGTCGTTCCGGCGGAGGCAAATTTGCGGTTGACTCCTCGGGGACGGGACGGCGTCCGAGTCCACCGGCTTCGATGAGTCGGGAAGCATTGTAACCCTCCACCTATAACCCACCAGCCGGGTCGGCGTACGGGGAATTTTCTAGGGGCCTAACTGTCGACGGCTCGACCGGGACACCGATCCTTCGGCGAGGAAAAAAAAACGGCGAAACTCGGAATCCAGGACCTTTCCAGGGCGAATATACGACCGACGGCACCCGCGGAACGCCGGGACGCCGTTCGGGGCCCCCTTTGTTCGGTTTTCGAAAATCCGGCTACCGGGCCGAACTCTCCTCCCCGGGCCGTAATTCGGCCGGTAATTATCGGTAATCGAGGGACACGCTGCCGGCGAACAACGCCTTCTGGCCCCCCCGTCAACCACAGGTGTACAAATAAATTGTCCGCCGCTCTTGCCTGACGTATATATAACTTTCTGATTGCTGCACGACGCTGCTGCATCACCGTCCCTGATTGCCGCGCGATGCACCTACGCGATTGCGCAAGGGTCACCCCAGACGCGGCGTCGCCTCGGAAATTCACTCTTGAGATATTTTCTAAATCTCCGTCCTGCTAAGAAAAGCATTTTAATTTTGGAATAGTTTCGCTGGAAGTTTTACTCGCACCCGGTGGAATAAATTCATAATATATTTGCAGTAAATTTACAAAATGTCTTATAAATTCAGTACATACAGTGTATTCGTTTTCCCGGACAATTTCACAAAATTATGACATGTCAAATTATAAATTTGTTTAGAAATTCCTAGTAAATGCATATACCAATTCGCTTTTGGGACATGAAATTTATAATTGTACTACTATTGCCAACAGTGCAGGTATGCCCGGCTCGCGTCCCTCTTTGTACGTACACCCCTCCCCCTCAATTTGCGCGGCACTTTTTGTTACGCGAGTCTTTGTTCCGCGGTAAATTGTAACACAATTTGCGCGGTTATTATTTCCAACATTTTTCTTTTGTTAATTCTGCTTGAAATAAATATGTATTTTAAGAACTCACGTGTACTAGCTTCTATTTCCAATATTTTTTTTGTTTCTTTTGTACCGACAAATTTTGTTTACGGGATTTTCATTCGCGTTAAACGAATCCGCGTGGTACGGACGCTCTGAGTAAATTGAGGGACGCAATCTCGGTGGTACCCGGGGGGAAGAGGGGGCTGCAAATTGGGGGTATCTCCAGATTCCCACGAGGTCTACCCGGAGAAGTTAGCCGAGGAGAGGACTCGGTGAGAACCGCTGAGAACCCCTGAGAACCGGGCCCTGCTTGGTCCTCTTCGCGGGAAGGGGGCCCTTTCGCTCCACATAGCCCTGGGCCCCGGGCCCGCGGCCCCCCTCTGGCCCCCGAAGGGGGCCCGTTCCGACGAGGGTTGTCACGGGAAAGGGGGACGCGGGGCCGCGAGAGAGACGCCCTGACTCGCGGAAAACGCCGCCGACGAGGACGCCGTCATGCCAGGGGGCCCCGATATTTATTGCGGGGATGCGTGCCCGGCAGATATTATTATTTGTACCGCACATAATTCAAGGAGGTCGTTAGAATTATTTTATTACTTGTTCTACATAACGCCCGAAGAGCCGCGAGGGATGGGGGACCCTCGATCACCCTTGACCCCCTTGGAAAATCTGATTTCCCGGGGGAGGGTTTTTCCGAAATTCCCACCTACGCTATAGGAAAGATATCTTATATTTCCCCGATTTTCCTGGGGAGTTCTTGCCCTCCGGGAGTCGGGACTGATCCGAGGAATTATTTCAGTGATTTTAAGGATCCGTTGAAATTGTTGATACAGGCGGTGGCGTAGACGGGAAGAAACGAGGAATCGATGCGAGATTCATAGGTGACTGCGCGAGAGGATGAGAAATGCCGGGCCAGCCCCCCAAATTCGAGGACACCGGAGGATCGCCGATTCTCCGGCTCTCCTGTAACCGACGCAAGGTAAGAGTCTCGTCCCGCAACAAAGGAACCGGGATTTTTCGGAAGCTAGGGAAGGCGCAGGTCCGAAAAACCTTTTTTGCCGCGGTTTTTGCCGCCTCTTGACCCGGCGTCCTAACCGGTCACCTCCTCGGCGGGGCGCGAGGGAAACGCACCGCGATCCCGGAGTCAGATGAAGTGGAATGACGAGCGGCGAGACCAGAATCTCGAGTGGGCTCTCGGGAGTAACTTAAAGTCGTATCAATCTCATTTATGCCAATTTCGAGTCCCCGTGCCCTCCCCGTAGAGCGGTCGTAAGTTCTCGTCGCACCTTGGTCCCCACCTC